CCCTCTTCCCTAAGATAAGTTTTGCATTTTTTTTTTGCATCCTGTTTTTATTTATTTGAGAACATGTTTTATCACCTCTGTAGAATGTAAGCTTCTTGAGGGAAATTACTCTCTTGCTGCTATATTTGTATCTCCAGCACCGAGTACAGTGCCTGGCATATAGTAGGTACTTAATAATGTTAATCGATTGATTGAGGGGATGACTTTCTTCTTTTTATATTTGTATTCTCAGTACCTAGCAGTGTCTGGAATGTACTAGGCCCTTAATAAATGTGTGTTGCCTGACTGCTAGATCCATGCAGGACTCTGGCTCTTGGGTTGACCTTCCAAGCAGGCATATGATTAGATGACATAATTTCTGGATTAAAGGGCATAAGATTTAGATTGTACTGCTCAACTAGTTTGTCCTTCTTATTTTATGAGTGTGGAATCTCAGACCCAGAAGTAAGGTGATTTGCTTAAGCTTGTGAAGGTAGTAAACGGCTGAATCAGGATTTGAATCCAAGTCTTCTGACTCCAAATTCAGTGTTCTTTCCATTGAGTGTGTTGATGAAAGTATTCTGATGTGGACTCTTCTCAAAAATGCCATTGTTTATGCTTGCAGGGCTCCATGTATCTACCAGGAAGCACCATCAAAGAGATTGCCACGAATCCAGAAGAAGCTGGGAAATTTGTCTTTGAAGTCATTCCAGGTGAGCAGCTGTGCATCAGTAGGACCTTACCTGTCAGTAGCCCCAGGTCACTTATTTTGTTGTAATTTAACTGATCATTGGTCAGAGAGTACTTTTTAATAATAATAACTCACATTTCTATAAAGTTTTATAGTTTAGAAAGCACTTTATATGGATAGAGCATTGGCTCTCGAGTCAGGAGGACCCGAATTCAAATTCAGCCTCAGACGCTTCCTAGCTGGTATGAAAGAAGGGCCAGAACATTTTTACATGGATTTTCCAGATCGAGGGGGCAGTCATCCTTAACCCCAGAGATAACTGTAGCGATTACTAGCGAACCATGCTAAATCAATTCAGATTAAGGGTTTATAGGTACATGGTTAGGGCTCTATGGGGGGAGATGGAAGGATCAAAGAATCCAGAGTTAGGAAAGTCTTCAGGGGTCATCTAGTTTAACTTCTAACTGAGAACGAATCCCTTCTGCTATTTTTTGTTGTGTTTGACTCTTCCTGACCTCGTTTGGGGTTTTCTTCACAGAGATACTGGAGTGGTTTGCCATTTCCTTTTCTTACTCATTTACAGATGAGATAACTAAGGCAAATAGGATGAAGGGACATGCTCAGGGTCACACTGCTAGTGAGTGTCTGAGGCCAGATTTGAACTCAGGTTTTCTTGACTCCAGGCCCAGCACTCTATCCATGGCACCACTTAGCTGCCCATAAGAATCCCTTCTACTATACTCCTTAAGAAATGGTTATGCTTAATTAAGAAAGCACATTTAAAGTACTTTGTAAACTTCAAAAGGGGCAGCTAAGTGGCAAAGTGCAAGAGGGCACTACACTTGGAATCAGGAAGACTCATCATGAGTTCAAATCTGACCTCAGATGCTTACTTAGCTGTGTGACCCTAGGCAAGTCACTTAATCCTGTGTGCCTCAGTTTCCTCATCTGTAAAATGACCTGGAGATGGAAATGGCAAACCACTCTAGTATCTTTGCCAAGAAAACACCAAACGGGGTCACAAGGAGTCGGATAGGACTGAAATGACTCAACAATAAAGCCTTCATAATGCTATAAAATTGCTAAGCCATCATGTTTATATTATTTGCTACTCACAATCTTTCTATGATTCCCTACAATCCTATGAGCTTGCAAAAGAGGTAGGTGTCATTTTTCAAAATTAGAAGCATTTTAAGTTATTTCACATCTTTCAATACTTAAGAACTAATTGTTAACTTAGCTTCCCCATCTCCCCCTCCAAAAAAAAAAACTTAAAAGGCTAATGTAAATTCACTTTTAAATACACACACACACACACACAAAATACAAGGAATATCAGTTTATTCAGATGAAAATTCAAGAAACTGAAGGTCACTTGTAGCTCTTAAATGAGCTGATCTACCCTGCTATAACCTTTGATATACAAGCATAGTCATGTCTACTGGTATAAGTGCAAGACCACCACCCTCTTTCCTGCATTTGCTCCTTTTTGTTATGGGGTTAAGTCAGAAACTTCTCAGCATTGCTTCAGTTTCCTCATTTACACAATCAATAGAATATTGATCACTTCCAAATAAAGTCAAGAAACACTCTGAAGTCTTCAAAGTGCTTTACATATGCTATTTCATTTAATGTTCACAACAACTACATGAGATTGGTGCTTTTATTATTCCCATTTTGCACAGGAATAGGCTGAGGCTGAGAAAGTTCGGGTAGCTTGCCCAGGGTAAGACGTGTAGTGAATGTCTCAGGCAGATTTCTAGTTCAGACCTTGAGAGCACAGATATATTCCTGACATCAGTTCCATGGATCTAGCTATAATTCTGTATTTAGATCTTCTTTTTTAATGCTATGTAATTATTTGGGTCGGTAGGTTGTGGAAAGAGCCCAGATTTACGATTTCATTGGTATGCTTTATAGTGCCTTACCTAATTTAGACAATGATAATACTGACACTTATCAAAAGATGTTCAAATTAAAAGATATATATATTTAAAAAAAAAAAAGAAAGGTGGTTATGCTGCTTCCTCTTGTCCAGGTAATCATTAGACCAGATCTCCTATCCAGAAGCACTAGGCTCCATAGAAACTGTCTATCTAGAACCACTATGAACAGGGCAATGTGTTTTCTTAATGGGGTTTTAAATAAAGAAACAATGATGCCAGATACTGAGACTTAGTGTTCACTGAGACTCTGTATTCTAGAACAAAATGCTGGATACATACGTGCAAACATATATACATATGCATACGCACACACATATACCCTGACATTGAATTAGTCCTGATATTTGACTTGACATTTGATTTGACCCTGGCATTACATAAAAAATATATGTATGTATTGTGTGTATATATAGATACATATGTATATCTAGATTTACAATATATACACATATATTTAATGTGTACACATTTATTTAATATCAGGGTCAAATCAAATGTCAGGTCAAATATCAGGATCAGTTTAATGTCAGGGTCAAATGAGAAGGATGTGTGTTCTAGTGGAAAGTGTGTGGGAGTGTGGCAGTCAGGGCTGGGGTCTCAGCTTCACCATTAACTCGCTTTATGATCATAGACAAGTAATTTTGCTTCTCTGTAGTTTAGTTTTCTCATCTGCAAAATGGGGATAATAATTCCTGTCTTCCAGGAATTTCGTAAGGATGTAATAATGTAAAAACTGTAAAACTTCTTTAAAAAGTTTTAAAGTATTCAAAAGAGTTATAGTTGTCATTTCTTGATTTTCCTAAGACTTTTTAAAAAAATTCTACTGGTTAATCTCTTTTCTATGTAGTTAATTAATTTCCTCAACTTACATTTAATCAAAATGAGAAGCTGGTCAACTCCATTGGAGATGATCAGAGCATATAAATTTAGAGAGCTAGGAGGGGCTTTAGAGGTCACTGAATACAATTCCCTCATTTTATAGATAAGGAAACAGACTCAGAAAGGTTAGAAGACTTGTCCAGGGTCACACAGCCAGTAATTAACTGAGATAGGATTTGAACCCATGTCTTCCTGATTCCAAATCCAGCACTGTGGCCACTATGTATGCTACCTGTGGCACCTGGAGGCAGGAGAACCCCAAGTTTGAACCTAGCTCTCGTCCCTTCCAATTTTGTCTCTAATTCTGTGATCCAAGAAAAACAGGTAAGGGGCGTCTACCTTCCTCTTATGAATTGTATGTCATGAGACTACAGAATTAGAGCTGGAAGGGACCTTGGATGTTATCTAGTCCAACCTCTTCATTTTAGAGATGAGGAAACTGAGGCCCAGAGATGTGGAGGAACTGACCTAGGATCATACAGGCAGTAAGTGGTAGAGATGGAATTCTCTGCTCCAGATCCAGTGGGGTTTTCCTCTGTGCTGTTAGAGTTGGAGAGACAGACAGACAGAGATAGAGAGAGAAAGGGAGATACAGACAGAGACACAGAGAGAGACAGAGAGAGAAAGAGAGAGACAGAGACAGACAGAGACACAGGGAAAGACAGAGAGAGAAAGAGAGAGACAGAGACAGACAGAGACACAGAGAAAGAGATAGTGAGGATAGAGACACAGACAGAGAAAGACAGAGAGAGACACACACACACCAGAGAGACAGAGAGAGAGGGAAAGAGAGCAAGGAAAAAAGAGATGGAGAGAAAGAGAGAGAAAAAGAGAGACACAGAGACAGAAAGAAAGAAGAGAGCCATAGACAGGGAGAAAAAAAGAGAAAGAGGGAAAGAAGAGAGCAAGGGAAAGAAAGAGATGGAGAGGGAGAAGGAGAGAGGGAAAAAGAGAGAGAAAGAGAGGTGGGAGAGAGAGAGTTTCACTCAACAACTGGAGTTTAACAGAGCTTTATTAAGGATTTGCTGTGTGCAAGAAGGCACTCCACTAGGTAGCTGGATGAGAGCAGAGGAAAGGACTTGACTTATCATTTCCTCTTTCAGCCGTATAGATAACAATGAGATCATGGCTTTTGTGAGAAAAGCATTTTGTAAACTTCAAAGTGCTATGTATGTAAGCGTGATTATTATTATTATTATTATTATTATTCTTTAGCTTTATGTGGGTGAGCCAAAAATGAATGGGGTATAATTTCTCCGTATCCTAATGTCACAAGCCCTTGATCCATCAATCAGTTAATAAACATTTATTAAATGCCTATTCAGGCTTCTTTTCCTTTGCTGGTCCTAACCCCTCACAATTTTTTTTCCTCCTGCAGCCTCCTGGGACCAGAATCGAACGGGACAGGACTCCTATGTCCTCATGGCCAGCTCACAGTCAGAGATGGAGGAATGGGTGAAATCTATCCGAAGAGTCACTGGAGCGCCATCTGGAGGTAACTGGCCGCTGAGCATCACTTTCGTTCAGAAGACATTTGATGAGCCCTGTCCATCATCAGGGCATTATGGGGATTTGGAGGAAAGAGAAGCCAGGGCCACACTCTTCTGAGAAACATGCAGTATAGCTGAGGGTACAAAATATGGATCCAAGACACAGTTGGAACATATTTCCCTGGTATTTGTTCTGATGTGAGCTAAAAGACTTGCTCCCTTGCTAAAAGAGTTAAAGTTTGTCAAAGGGCTTTTGTTGCAACCTCCTTGGGAGGTAGAAAGTGAAGACGCTGTTATCTTTATTTTACAGTTAGGGAAATTGAGGCTTAGGGAGGTTAGGGACTTACCCAGGATCACCTAATTCATAATAGTTAGAGCCAGGATTTGAACCCAGGCCTCTCACCTCTAAGTCAAGGCCTTAGTGGAAGGTTCTGTCTGAGTTACTGTTGTCCAGACTGGTCACTAATCCTTATTTATCATCGGGTAGCCACCTGAACTTTTTGAAACTTGGCTAGCAAGGCTGTCTGCATCCAATCCAGGGATCTCTCGCTGAATAACAATGGGAGGAAGGGAATAGGATTGGAGCTTTAGCACTGGGATGGACCTCATCTAGTTCAATCTTTTCCTTTTTACTATTGAGGAGACTGACTTCCCCAAGCAGACAAGGTGTGATTTGAACTCAGATCCCCTGACTCCAGTATCATTGCTCTTTCCACTGTACCAAACTGCTTCTTTTAGAATTAATTCTATTCTGTAGCCCTTTATCCATTATCCACTATCCAATATCCAGGATATTATTAGAACAACAAATCCTCAAGGAGGAACACAGTGAAAATAGATTAGTATTATCAGCTTAACAAATATGAAATTGTAGTAGAGAGATCCAGAGTATACCTACACCAATGACATCAAACTGTAATAGAAATGGAGGCCATAAGATGATACCTAAGGATCCCTGAAGACTGCATATTGACTTAGAAAATCACGTATTACTGTTACGTATGTTTTTATCATATTTTATTTTGTTAAATATTTCTCAATGTCATTTTAATCTGGCTCAGCTACACTCAGGAGTGTTGTGGGCTTCTGTGTGTTTGACTTCTGGTCTAGACCAACATTTTCATTTTACAGACAAAGAAATAGGCCTAGAGAGATAAAGTGAGTTACCCAATGTCATACAGTTGTGATGGGCCCAAGACAAGTGATAGTTCACTTTTCTAGAGCACTCTAAAATTACTTGTTAATTAGCTTTTTTCCCTCCCAAAGTAGTTTAAGCATTACAGGATCATTCTTTTTTTTTTTTTTTTTTTTTTTGCAAATGAGGAAACTGACACTTAGAGAGGCTAAGCACCTTGCTGAAGATGCCAACATTAGTGAGTGTTGGAACCCAAATATGAACTCAGCTCTCCTGACTTCAACAATACTCTTCCCTGAAAACAAAATAAAATAAAAAACCCCCAAAACAAAAATGGAAGTTTCACATGTGGTTTCCTGAGTTTTGTAGTGTTACATTACACAGAATGGTTTGCATCTGAGATACAGCAGGGGCAGACTCCACAGAAGGACACCCTTGTGTGTGTTATTCATGTTTATGCTCTGGTTTTAGGGCCTACATTAACAGAACTCCCCGTTTAGAAAACTGAACTTAGTAAGAATGAACTAAGGAATGGGATTCTTAAAAGGGTACTTTGTTTTCCCAAGACATTACAAGCTTCTTTATTCAATTAAAAAATGTAATTTCCTGTGACTTTTCAGGAATATATCTTTTTGAAAAATGAGATATGCTTACATAGGCTTGGAATTTTAGATATCATTCTAGGACTGAGTGGAAAGGACCTTCGAGGTTATCCAGATGATGAGGCAGCTCCCTTGGTCAGCACTTTACACAAACATCATCTTTCATTTTGTATGTAAGGACTTGAGCCAAGGTACTTACTATACATCTACAGTTGTCCCTGTCCTTTGCTTGGGCCTTGAATGTGTCTTCTCCTGGAAGGTGGGATCATGGCCCTTGATGCCTTCTTTGAGGTTGAGTTTCAGGCTAACCCCAAGGTGAACTGGTCAGTTTTGGCTAGTGTAGGATAGACTATTCTGGGAGCTGGAACCCATTTGTGCTGGCCTGTAAAAGGGAGGCTCCAAATCCTTTTGGCCTGCTTTTTCCCCTTTGTCTTTCCTTTCATTTTTCTTAAGATCTTAACAGTACAGCAGAGCTAAGAGCACAGCTTGGCCTAGATGGGGATCTTCCCAACCAGGAGTTGTTTATCCCATGCTTGGGGCAGAAGCGCCTGGGAGCTGTCTGTGCTCTCACCCCTATGGTCCAAAAGGAGAGTTCCTAGGCTATTGTCAAGTTCTTGGCACTAGCCTTGGGGAGGCAACAGCTAATTGGTGAGTTCTTGAGGATAACCTTTCTAACAAGGTCAAAAGTCCTGGTTTCTGGCCTTCCAGCTGGAGAAGGGGAGTTTTCTGGGCAATATGATTTCAAAATCTAGCCTTTCAACCAGATAAGGGGCATTTTTTTGGATAGTGCCATCCTTAGGAGTTGCCTCAAGAGTAAATCCAAGGTCAAGAATTTGGCCATCTGTCTTAAGGGAATTTCCTTAGTGGTATGAGAGGAGAAGATTGTCCACTTGGCCCCTGTTGCCTGGAGGAGCAGTCACATGGGACTATATTCATGATAAGGGAGGAGCAAGTGATGTGGACTTTACTCTCAACTGTTACCTGGGGTGGTGATTATCTGTGTAGTGGCCTTAAGTGTGCTTCCCTTTCTGGGGAGTCCAAACCCTCAGAATAGTTATATAAGGATGAGTATCTATATAGGTTTCTGTGGCATGAAAGAGGGGCTCTTTAGAATGTCAGCAAGTTTGTTTCCCTTCTGGGGGAAGTCTAAGCTGCAGGATGGTGCTTTGAATTGGGGAGGGGATCTGCATTCTGTCTGCTATGTGGCAACCTTGGAAAGAGGAAACTTGGGGGTAAATAGTGAGAGTTTCTGAGGAGTGCATCTTCTTGAATTCTGAAATTTAAGCTTCTGTTAATCTGGATTACTTAGATAGGAAAGCCTAGGTTCTTGGATTTTACTGTCCGCAACCCCCAGCTTCTCTGACTAGGAGGTCAGATTCTGAGACCCATAAACTTAGGACTTCTAGACTTCCAGAGAGATACCCCATTAGGAACTCTTATCATTTAGTCACATGGTTCTCTTCTTCATGGCCGGCACGTGGTTGACAGATTACATCGCTATTCCCCAAGGCTGTGGCTAGGGACTTTCCTCTTAGACCATATGAATGAGGGTCAGGTAAACTACCTTATAGGGTTGTTGTAAGGATTACATGAAACAGTGTGCATATAAAGCCTTTGTGAACCATAAAGCCCTCTATCTATATCAGCGAGGGCCCCTAGATACCTTTGGTGAATTCATGTCAACAAGCTTATTTCCAGTATGCTAGGATACTGAAGTCACATGTGATTGTTGAACCTGTATCAGTGATCGTTGAAAAAACATGGAGAATGGGAGAGGAACCACAGGATGGAAGAAGGGCAAATACTATCCAGACTTTCAAAAAAGAACAAGAATGAAGGCTGCAAGCTACAAAGCAGTGAGCTTGACTTTTATTTTGGGGAAATCTTTCAGATGCATTATGAAAAGGGAGTAAGGTAGAGGAATGGGAGCCTTGTTCTAGCCCCTGCATTGGTGTGTGCTGATCCATCTCATAGACGTGAAATCTCCATCACTGCACATCCCTATTCCAGCATTGAAGAAGATTTAATTAATTGGTAATTAATTTTTCCCATAAGGATTAAAATTTGGAGTCGTGCAATCAATCAGTCAATAAGTATTTATAAGTACTTTTTAGGTTATCAGGGAATGTGTTAGGCTCTGGGCATACAGAAACAAAACCAAAACAATCATTGTCCTTGAAGAGCTGACAATCTATGGAGGAGGCAATGTGTGGATGTGTGAATACATAGACACACATATGTATGGACACACATACATACATACATAATACATACATACATACATACAAATATATGAAGTATGTACATGTAGAGATATATGTACATATATAAAGTATGGCTATGTAAATATATAAAGTATGTATATATGCACATATAAAGTATGTGTAAAGATAATTTATAAAGCATGTATGCATACACACACTATGTATGTATATATAGTATTTATAAAATAAATATGAGGGCTTTTTTGGGGGAGGAAGGCAATAGCCACTGGGGGAGGGGAATCTGGAAAGGCCTTCTGAAGGAGACAGTGCTTGAATTGAGCTTTGGAGGAAACTAAGAATTTGAAGAAGCAGAAGTGAGGAGAGGACAGTATTCCAGGCATGAGACATGGCCTTTGCAAAGGTCCAGAGATGGGAAATTGAATATTATGTAGGAGGAGCTGCAAGTAAACTACTTTTACTGGGCCATAAAGTACATGAAAGGGCAGCTAGGTGGCACAGAGGATAGAGTGTCAAGCTTGGAGTTAGGAAGATTCATTTTCCTGAGTTCAAAGTTGGCCCCAGACACTTACTAGCTGTGTAACTCTGGGCAAGTCACTTAACCCTGTATGTCTCAGTTTCCTCATCTGTAAAATGAGCTGGGGAAGGAAATGGCAAACCACTCTAGTATCTCTGTTAAGAAAACTCCAAATGAGGTTATGAAGAATCAGACATGACTGAAAATGACTGAACAATAATAATAGAACATTTGGCTGGAGATGTCCAATAGGTAGTTGATGGTATGGTACTAGAATTCAGGGGAGACATTCTGGCTAGTTGGAGGCAGTTTAGTGGTGCAGTAGATAGAGTACAGAGGCTGGAATCAGGAAGATCTGAGTTCAGATCCAGCGTCAGATGCTTACCTGCTGTGTGATCTTGGGCAAATCACCAAATAATCTGCCTGTCTCAGTTTCTTTAACTGTAAAATATGGATAATAATAGCATCTACCTCCCAGGGATGTTGTGAAGATCATGTGAGGGCTTATTTGTAAAATGGTTAGCATACTATGGCCTGGCACATAGTAGGTATTTAATAAATGCTCATTTTCGGCTTAGAATCTAGCCAATAGCTCACTAACATTCAGACTCCTTAAGAGTCTGCCCAGTATGACGGATGTTCTAATAAATCTTGTCTT